TTAACGTGCCGTGATTTTACGATGGAAACGGACGTGCAACACCGTGCGCACATCACTGCCGTTTACTGAGAAGGAAATCGAGCGAACTAACAGAGCGAAAGAGCACGACGGGGCTTACGCAAGACTCAAGAGGGAAAGAGGGCGCAACGAAGGGACGAATGGAACCAAAGAACACGGCGGGAATTCCGGCGCGGCGAAACCCATCCATACAAGTCCATTCCAGTTTGGACGAGTCGAGTCCAAACCAGGACCATTCAAACAAAAGGGGGTTGCGCGTAGCAGTGAACCAAAACATTTAAATAGATACGCATTCTGGAAGGCTTGATTCCACAGTATGCGTTCGACTTGGTGTAGTTCACACGGTTTCTTTGAGGTTAAAAAGTCGATTCAAGATTGTCAGAAAAAGGATCTAATTATTTTTTGATGCGCTAAATACAAAGTCGCTCATTATTAAGTTTATACAGCTCTTTGATGGTCACTAAGGGTCAAATCGCAATCAAAACCTGATAAACGGTCGACACAACTAACTTATAATTTTATCTTATTTAATACAAAGCATTTTATTAATTGGGTTTGGGTCTTTGGTACTTTTGACCTTTCTGCAAAGCTACGAAGGCGATCGCGAATATTAAAGTAAAAACCAGGGCTCGTTTGCTGCAAGCTCGTTAACTTTAACGGAGGCAGAAAGTTGACCGCATTTCCCTAAGAGGGGGAATATTAGGTCACGTCACTAGCAGAGCAGGAACGGCGGGGAAACTGGGCGGTTCACCTCCCAGCGAGAGTCGCTCGCTTTGGAACTAGTATGTCATAGTAACTACACTAGAGGGCACGTTTGTAAGCAATGAATGGTTCAGGAGGCTTTCGCTTTGCCTTGCATCCCTTAAATTGCAAAGTGTAAGCAATCATCTCGCACCATTTTTGTATCGTCTTTCGATTCTTACCATTCTTAAGCCTAAAGGAACGCGGAAATTGTCAATATGGCAACGGAATTGGGATCCCAGTGGATTGTCTCGACTCGATCGGCCGGACATTGATGACACGCAGAAGCAGACTGTGTGCCAAATTCCAAAGGAGCCGAAGTACATGATTTTCATTTTACGAAGAAGACCTTATGTGCAGCTCTTACATGCTGGACAGCCATGCATACTGTCGGTGTGCCGCCCGCCCTTCGCTGCTCACTTCTTCTACATTTTTTGTAGCAGTGAATTTCGTCGACCTCTTCGCACTGAGAAGGACATCTCAACGAGGCTTGTCCCAACTTCCAACTGCCAAACATTGAATATTTGCCAAACATGGGCGTGTTTTGGTTTACCTTACCCATTATTTGTAGCCCGAGAAACAGAAAGCTTTTCTCAAGCTCAAATGTATTCCGCGCTGCGTCACGAAATCCCGGCAGCGCGAGTACCCTGATCCCCCCTTTCCATAAAGATTTTCACAAAAGCCACTGATATTCGCCACAACCAGTAGGTGACGCGAGCTAGTAGTGCTGTGCCGTGACGTTCTGAATTCAGTTCACGATTGTGTAGATATTCCAAACCTGTCATCAGGGTGCTGTCTTTGTAAAGGGTTTCTATCCTTCCTCAATCCTTTTCCAACTACACAATCTCAACATGAACAATCTAGACGGTTCTCCATCCTTCTCGAACATTCTACTTCGAAAAAAAGGTAAAGGGCATTCAAGGAAGAAAGTCGAATCCGAGCCGTCTGCGTGTTAGCTCAGGGCGCTGCCTACTCAGATAAGTAAGCTTTTTTTTTTTCTTTATTACCTTTTTGTTTACATGAACAGCACATTCAGTCCCCAAGGATGCCAGAACCTTCAACAAGTCTTTGCCTGGCATGCATGGTTTAAAATGGTGTCAGGGTAACCGACCTGTCCAGTACTGGAGCAGATTCAAGTTGTTCGGTCAGCGTCCCATAAACCTCCTTAACAAGAATTACGCTTTCAATGATATATTCCCTTGCTTGACGAGGGTTCACATCCGCATGTCGAAGAGCTATCTTTTTTCTCGCTAGACTGTGAAGGCCCAAGAGCATTAACATGTCGTAAGGTACTATTTTTGCTTTCTATGGGGAGGAAACTAATACCACACGCTGTTATCGACAGGTCCTTCTTCAAGGTACGTTGCAGAATATCCCACAGCAAAACAGCATTCCAACACTCTAGGAACATATACTTTAGAGTTTCAGGTTCTCGACATAACAGGCAGTCCACCGACCACGGCAGAAAAAGGCCTTTCTCTTGAAGCCAAGGCTTTACGGGGAGTGTGCCACTATGTAACTGACAAACGAACGCCTTTAGAGATGGCGTTACCGGCATCCTCTTGAGTTTTGAGGAAATCTTTCCTTGGATCATCCCAGAATATAGAACGGTATACTGGTATTGGCATCAATGCATCAACAATATCTTTGCACAGACGCTTCCGTTCGACGACACTTAAATGCTCTAATGAGAAACGTACTTTTAAAAACTGAAATGCCCTAACCACTTCGAACAAAAAGCCTCGTACTCTTGTTCGTTGAAGGTTGTCAGTCGAAACGACATAGTCATGCAAAGCATCACCCAATCTGACTTCTAGTACGGCCCTAAGAAAATTATTATTTTGATCCTGTACAAAATAAATCGAGGAACAACCTGGCGTAGAAACAAATCAACAAGACCAAGCCAATCGGCTACGTGAACATTCGACAACATATTACAATGACTCAAGGTGGTCCCTTGAAGCGTAGTGTAATGATCTCGGCATGATTCCCATGAACGTCCCACCAGACTACTTTCACATTTTTTTCCTTGGCGTCGCGTTGTACGAACCTGTCCATCTCCTTGTCGAGATCAAAGGTATCTGGTTTTCCTTCTGTTAAGGGAAGCAACTGTTACACGGGGTTTCGTGATGCTGTAAATAAACAGTCTAAATTAATCTACACTCTTTCCTAACCAATATGTCATTAAATATTCAGCTCGCCGGCATTATTTGGTACATAATTACAGGCACCGCCCAAAGATAAAAAAACTCATCGGTATAAATTTTTTGCTTCGTGCATCGCCATGCTAAACATATTTTAACAATTTGAATCAATTCTTGATGAAATATTAACGTTGTAGTTCAGACGTGTTGAAATATGTTCATTGAAAAATAAGCCTAAATCAGACATATGCGTCTAAATATGTGGAGCTGCATTACCACACTTTGCATTTTACAACCATACGTTGCGTGGACTTCGAACCCGGTGGCATCGGCGTACAAAAAAGCACTTTAACGCTTCCGGTCTTGGAAAGGACCTAAAGTTTCGAACTATTTTCCAAGTCCAGTCCGTGCATTATTTATGTGAAATGGTCGCTTATAACACTGACACAATCATTTTAAGCTAAGGGTAGAGGAAGAATGCGTACACGATTTGAAATCATAGGCAAAACGGTAGTAGGCCAGGGTCGTAAGCAGTCTTAGGAAGTCGTAACGCGCTCAGTCACACTCAAACGGAAATGCCTGACGTATCTTTTTTTGACCATTCAGGACTCACAAATTCAAGCGCATGTCAAGGAACAGCTCTGTCATCCACATCTCTTATGCATTTTGTATTGCTGTATTGAATTTAGCGCACCTCTAAGGCCGTAATGTTTCGCTTTATCTTTCGTTAGCAAAACCTAACGGCCGCGTAGCCTGAAACAAGGCCTCTTATATTTAAAATATTCTCACTGTATGTGAATTTAAAATTATGTAATAGGATATAACTATTATATATACTTAACCGCTCCAAGATAAGAAATCAGCAAAAATATAAAATATATGACTGCAGGAAAAGGCAGCGAAGTACCTGAAACGTAACTTCCTAAATGCAATGTCAACAAGAATGCTTTCAAACAATTTGATTTAATTTAACGTATGAAACGTCAGCTGTGTGTGCTGCAGAATGAAATAAAAGATATCTAATATAAAGTGGTCAACATCTGTTTGATCTTCAGTTTCTGTTAACCCTTTCGCGTCAATCCGTCTTCATAAAAATACAGATAAAAATACCAGGTTTGGTTCAGGAATATAAGAAATAAGACAATTTTCAAGAACAATAATAATTTATATTACTGGTTGCCCCATCGTGATATGTTGTACCTGGGGAATTTTTGGCTTTTATTTCATTTTTTATTACAGAATTTTAAAGCAGTTTTTGTTGCCAACTAGGCAAGCATACATGGTGCATTTTCCGCAATACACATTCCCGTCAGACAAAAAAAAATATTAGCTCTGAATTTTTTTTAGCAAGACTTCGATTTTGTTTCGTATTCTCCATCCAGGCAGTGAAAAAACCAAGAAAGCGTGGAACTTAATTTTTTGCCACGAAAGGCGGCGGCTTAAAAAGAATTAAAACAAACAAGTAATTCAGAAAGATAAGAAGCTACTCAAAGATGTGTAAGCACGCTAACAACCTGTAATTCACAAATGTTTCACTAAATCATCACGAATCTACAAAATGCATCTGTTTTGAATGTGCACACTGTGTATCATAATAGAATAACACGGATAAGTCTCGAGCATAATCCTCCGAAGAAGCAGTGACGCGAATTACCAATGTTGCTTCACAGCAACAACAGTTCATAATTCACGTGGGAGTTAGCCAGACATGAAATATTACTATCTATGCTAATGCGCCATTGTCCATATATTTCGAGATAACTTTCAGATCAATTTTAATAAACGAACAATGCTGGGCGTGATATTTATAATCGTGTCCACATTGGTGGCGCCTTTAAATACATATGACTGTCAACCCATACAAAACGTTGTGTATGTTTGGAAGAAGACGCAGGTCGCAATCTACGTTGCTGTGGGTGAAACACCTTAAGTTGCTTTAGAGATACAATGGGCATTTCTGTTTGAAAGCGACCTTTTGATAGAAAAAAAATTTAGTTTGCAATGTTCCTCCTCGGTAAAATGGACATGAAAGGGTTAATTCTCGTTTTATTTTGAGCTCAAAGCTAGATGTAAAAGGTAAGAGTTTGGGGTACTCACCGGCGTGCTGATGGACCTGAAATCAAGAAATATGAATACATTTTGGTGAGCGCAACGTCTCTAGTTAGGATAACCACAGTAAGTTTCTTGATATTTAGCTTGAATGGAAAAGCGCTCCTATGAATCCGTTTTGCACATCTTGAACATAAGAACTTCGAATGGCATTTATTTAAACGCAACCACGAGCGAATTTGTTCGCAATTCATGTCCGCGAGTTTTAGTCGGCTGGATGTGGTTCGCCGATTTTTCAGCTGCATTCTCTAAGAAGGACCTTTTAGTTGTTGTATGGCATATGAGGGGGGACGTAAAAGTGACCGGTATAAATATCTGAAGGTCGCGCCATTCGTAGTCCCGACTTCCGCCGCTAGGAGCGCCTAATTGCACCGATTTTGAGACACTTTGCAGACAGGCGTCGTCTGCTAAAGTTGTAGCGGCATGTTGTGAACTTTTTCTCTAGGCGCCTCAAAATCATTACTCGTGTTTTTGCAATGTCTAATTTGAAGGAACAGTGTGTGGCCGTAAATTACTGTTTTGTTTTTGTGAAGCCGGTGGCGAAAACTCTTGATATGTTTCAGACAGCATACAGGGAAAATGCAATACAGAAATCTCAGCTCTACGAGGGATTTCCTCGCTTCAAGGGAGTTGAACTATTGATCGACGGCCAACCTAGTTCCCAAGAGACTTCAAGAATGGTTCGCTGCGAGTTTGTTCCTGCATGTAAAACTATTAATCAGGTGTTTTACCAGGGAGATTTGCGACGCATGCGCAACTCTGAGAAGCATAAATGCCCCAATTTCTGGAAAAGGTTTGAGTGGTGGTTCCATCACGACAATACCCAGAAAAAGCACTGCCCTGACACTGCAACAATTTTTCAACAAAAATGGCTTTAAATAATCCGCCCCCCCCCCCCCCGGGCTTGTTCACCGGACCTCGCCGCGGTTGACTTTTTTCTGTTCACCCGTTTAAAAAGTCTGGAACTGTGAAACCTTTTGTGAATCTTAAAGGTTTTTCTGATCAGATATTGCAAAAGACGGAGAATGAATTTGAAATCCTCTGGTGAAAAAAAGCCTACAACATGCATTTGTTTCCAAATTTTCGTGTTTTTGACCAGCAATCCTACACTCAAGAGGTGATCCTCCAGTGGGTTCCAAATCACTCAGGCGTTTATGGGAATGAGGCAGCCCACTCCATGGCCTGTTACACATTACAAGGACACCCTTGTGCTGGAGTGAGTTGGAATGACCCGCAAGAGGATCTAATTTCAGAACGGCCTGAGCGACGTGAAGCCCTGAATTACTTGCATGAGTGTCAGAATCCTTTCATCCTTATCTAGGTTAGAAGGTACCTTATGTCGCTAAGCTAAACCTCTTCCCCTTTTACCCACCTGCTTCCCTGTTAAAGATTACTCCTTGGGCACCCCAATGGTCCCCTCTGCGGTGACTTTCCAAATACCCCTAACGTCCTCTTGAACTACCACTCCAGCCTCTCCTCCCACCCATCATCAGCGCTCCGTGACACTGTTAAAGTGGCTCGTTCCCTCGGCGTCCCTATTTTTCCCCTTCCAGCGGGCCCCGATCACTCACGACCAGACAACACTTAAGAGCCCCGAGTGACGAAGGCCATCATGCCCCCTCTTTGCCCCGGACTGAACGTCACTTTCACAATAAAGTTGGAACACAAACATGCCGCAAGAACTTTGTCAAACGACGTCAGTCGGAAACTTAGTCGGAAGGGGTGTTGCAAAGACTGTCAGCGGTGGTAGGTGGTAATACGATCTGCCCGTCTCCCAGAAATTCATTCTGGTTACTTATGGGTCCCCCCCGCATATGTTTTTTTTTAACTGAACCGTTGTAACTGAAAAATAAAATGAGTGGTAATTTTTTACAAAAATTTACATAAAACGTTTAGGGGTAATAAGCTTGTAACACCAAAAAATATGATAAAAACAGCTCATAATATGCAATCCTACAAGTTTGAAATCAAACCGTTTTCCGCCTTTCAGGATACCGACTAAGTACCACCGGGAACAAGTTTATGCGGCATTGCATTAAAGCCTAAACCCGTGCATTCTTATTTGTTAACTTTTTAGAATTGGAGAAAAGTCTAGCGGACAGCTGGAACCAACGGTAGTTCAATCAGAACAAAGATGTCGAACTGTTCATCGCTTCGGTTCAGGTGCGGTATTTTTGTTTTTTGATCCGCTTTGGGTTGGTTCAGTCACGCATTAAAAAATATTTGTTTAGTTACCATCCTCTACTCTAAACGTTGACCTGTTCACATTAATTTATATATCTACCTAGACTGTTGCCCACGCATTTTCTGCAGCTTTTGCTGAGCACCCACTAATTTCAGTAGTGAGACAAAAAGTCGAGGTGTAATATTTTTAGAACAAAACGAAAACGTCTTAAGGCCCGTTCACACTCTTGCGACTGCTTGCGACCTCTTAAACCTGGGTTCCTTAAAACTTCTTAAGCCAGAGAACACACTGGCGCCATCTATTGGGAAGCAGTGTAAACTCGGCGGTCCGGCATATTTTTTTTTTATTTCTCGCGCAATATCCTTTCTTTTTTGGCTCGAAAAGCTTTTGTCAATGTTATAAACGAGCCTTTTTATGGGTATTACGCACATTTGACCTCGGAAATCCCGCAAAACCTTCGCTTTTGTGAAATGCAGTTCTAGGGTCACCGCATAGATGGCGCCACAATGTCAGTGTGTTCCCTCATTCCAGAAACATTTAAGAAGTTGTAAGAGAAATCGTCTCTCTCAGTCGTACTCGGTCGCAAGAGTGTGAACGGGCCTTTAGAATAAGAGATGTATCATAGTTTGATCCATTTACAGTCAAACCCGCTTATAACAAACAGCAGGAAACGCTACGATCAGTTCGATACAGCAGATAGTTCGATATAGCAAAAAATATTTACAACGAACTTCCACGATGCGTTCGTTGTAATGCGAGAGCCTTCCTCTTTCTTCATCATCTCTTCAATTCCGCCTTGTAAAAACGTGCTAAAAGCTTTTTTTTAGCTTATCTTTCCTTCTAAATCTATTCTCATCGTGAGCAAACGCTTCTAAATGAAAAGTTTTTCTTTTTTTTTTCCGTGCGTGCAGTGTGAATTTTTTTTACCTTTCCTTCTTAATCGCTTCTTTTCGCTCAATTTTGTTCGCAACTTGAGCTTTTGGAATTTTCTTTCTTTCCTACTTCTTTTTTGGGAAAAGGGACAGGCTAGAAGACGATAGTCTGCGCGTTTTTGGAAGCCTTCCCGGGGGGAAAAGTTAGATATAGCCAATATGTTGTTCGTTATAAGTCATACTTTGTACATGCATTTATATTTAAATTTTCCGTGAGTTTGATATGGACAATAATTCGCTATACGTGGGTTCGTTCTAAACGGGTTTCACTGAATGTGAACCTAGCTGGATCATCGCTCATTCCTCTCACAATGCTACTATGGGCGCCAGAGCTGCTCATGTTTCTGTAATGGAGTGTATAAGATTTTACTGCCTCTAAGATAAATGTTTTGGTAGCATACATCGGTATGTTTTATTATCAAAATTAGTGTGTTACTTGAATAAATATAAAATGTACATCAGATGCGACAAGATGTCAAGTCACCTTATAATATTAGCTTTCGGTCTGCACCAGGGGCGAATCCAGACCTCCATTTTAGGGGGGGCGGTTCCTCAGTGTAAAACGGCGGGGGGGGGGGGTTATATTTTTTGTGGAGTTATCGTTTTTACTAAACTCTGATAACATAGTATAGATCTTGAGAGCTTTTGTATCGGTTTACCTGTCGGGGCCAGATGTCGAGGCTATCTTGGGTTTCAGACCCACACTACGTGAGCAGTCGATTTAGGGCAGCTTAAAGACATTGCCTTGACAGACATTCTGGTTGGAGCTAGTGCTCAACTGCTGCGGCAACGGGAAGAGCGGCTTAAATAAATGTAGCGAGTACGTTGCAAACAAGCGATAAAAATGGCCCGGCGGCTTCGACGCTGCTCGCGGCGTCAAAACACTGCTGACGCAGCGAGCGAAACGAACGCTGCCAGGCGTCGGTTGTTCGCCGTATATTTGGAATGTCCAGAGCCCAACACATGCGGCATTGCCAACCCAAACTCGTGTTTTCACGTGTTCTGGATGCAACTCGAGAGAACGAAAGCGAATAATTGTTGAATATGTTTGAAAGCATGTTGCACTTCGGCAACTATAACTTTTAAACTTAGACAAGACCTTAAACCAGCAATGGATCCTTCCAAATTATATTCAATTGTACTTCGTCTGGATATTTTCTGTATGAAAGGAACACTTACTTGTTTCTGGGTAGTTAGCTCATTCGCCAGGGTCGAGAGGACAGGTGCAGAGATATGATGGGGCAGAGTGGTTGTCCGGTCGGCGAATCTCAATTGGGCTAAAGGCCGATCACAACTGCAGTATGGATGTTTGGGAGTCACTGTTCACTCGAACGGGCACAGGCACTGTCTATTTAATTTATGTATAGTCGCATCTTTGAAAAGGCTCGTTTTCCCCAAGTACCTAGGTAGGGAATTCGAAGCCGCAGTTGCAAACCAGCAAGCTCCGCCTCTGTTCCGTTCGACACACACATAATCTCTCCGGCAAACCCGCGCGACAGCTTTGCCGCCAATCCACAGAAGCCGCGTTTAACTCGAAAAGTAAAGACGGCGCCAAGGGGAGACAAGGGGTAGCGGGCGCCTTTCCTGAAATATGTCCCGCCACCCTAAGTTGAAACGGCATTGTATACAAATAAATGCCTACGGCGTCGGCTTGAGGACCGCGTGTAAGCAGCCTCCAGCTTTTAGAGTGCTCGTACCGTTTATCTTTATTTTATTAGCTTCCCGCCACGAGAAGTCGTACCGCAGGCAGTATGAAGCACACTAGAGGAAATATCTCCCCCTTCTGGCGCCCGTCGGCTTCTTTCTGTACTCCACGGTGCGGCGCTGATCCTCAGTGAGGGATGGAGGCGAGGACGAAAGCGGGCTTATGTTTAAGCCAAGGTCGTGGGGAAGTCCGGAGCGTCTTCAGGAGAAGCCCAGTCCCAGACTACACTGTACCCAGAGCATTTGCTTCCTCTCTCAGTTGAGAAGAAAAGCGATTGGCCACCTGGTTGTACAAGCTGCATCCCCCCCTAGAACGTCTCCTCCTGGTACGTCCCCTCCGCACTTCCCTTGGCAATGAGCACACCATGCCAATAAGATACCTTTAGTGAGCCCGTGGGCGACAGCATCTCAAAGCAAGCCAAAAAAGACATGCCAAAAGACAAGCCCAGAACCATGAAGAAACCATCAAACAAAAGTGATGAAAAGGCGGTTGCTAGAGAGGAAGGATAATCCGTTGTGTATAGGATTCTACCCTTGGAAAGGCTGCTTGGCGTCTGCGTTTAGGAGCTTTCAGGGCACACATTTTTCGCAGACAACCTCCAAAGAGAGAGAGAAAGGGGACTAGATATGTTGAAGGTATTTTCCCCCTCTGCTCGACGTGCTGGCCTTGTTTGGAAGTGTGCCTGCAGTCGAGGACCCTGATATTTGGTGCGCCTCCCCACTGTCTCTCTACTTCGAAACTCCTAGCGCCGTCCCTGTCGGGAGGACGTACCGTGACCTTGGCGGAGATAAACTCCACTTTGAAAGCGCCCAGCAGGCACGTCCACCCACCGCTGTTTTAATATTTTGTCCCTCGCGTCGATTGCTTACGTCTTTCTTCGAGCTGACAAAGAACCCCGGGGGGGGGGGGGGGGGGTGTTGCCTGGCGAGGCATTTGGGGGGGGGGGGGGGGGCGATCGCCCCCACCGCCCCCCCCCCCTTGGATTCGCCACTGGTCTGCACAGAACTACTTTAACTGAAGTCATTCAGTTGCAACAGATCTCGTGTATCTGTTTGCTGCTGCTGCTTTCAGAAATAACGCCTGAATTACCCAACATAACAAGAACAAGTTCACTTTATGGTAATGTAGAAATTCAAACAAACCCGATTACAATTCCAGAGCAAACTTTTTCATATACTGTGGAATATAACATTATAATTATGATTTATACGGTCTTTTTTTTTTCTTTCACTGGCTAGAATTTACCAGGTTCGATTAGCCCGCCTTTGAGTCAAGCATAGAATATTTAAAAGTGGCATTAAAAGCCTAATCACGCTGTACGAATGCTTCTTGGAACTATTGAGTTACACGGTCACGAATCTATTCAAATGCCTTGCTACAAAATACTCGAGACTAAGAAGAAAGCGCGCGTTTTATGCACGTTAAATGGGCCAAAAAGAGACAAAAGTCATCATGGATTCCAATGTCTGATGTATTGATGTTTCCGTCCTAGGTGTTGGTGGAAAGTGCAAGAAAGAAAGAAGCAGAAATAGCTAGTGACGAAATGCCACGCGGTACGAGAAGTGAAAAAGACAACGAAGCACTCTCGGTGACCCAGACAATTCAGTGGAAGGACTTAGTATCGGGTGCTGAAGGGAAATACGCGCAGCGTCAAGAGGAGTGAAGGGTGTGACGTAAACTGTTTCCATTCAAACCCTGCCCTAGGCACCACCTGAACTAAAAAAACAACTCACCCCAGGCACTGAAAGATTAAGGGTCATCCTGTCCAGTAGGAACTACCCGAAGTAAGAACACCACCCACCTTGTATCGCTACCGCCCTTAAACGTGTTTCGCAGAATGACCAAACATGCAGTTAATTATATTATATTGTCTACTATGTTCCCCTTCTCTTTCTTCGGGGATCATTGTTTAGTAGCGACAAAACAAAACAAAGAATAGCTCATTCGCCTCTTGGTATAGATAGCTATAGATGTACGCCACCGTTCCAGGCCAAATCGCCGACGCCACGTTGTGATCCACATAAGCGCAAAAATTATTTATTTGTTGAAGTAGTCTTTACTTGTCTACACGTCACTGCCGCTTATTTAAATACAATGCGCTGCTCACTCCCCCTCCTCCCGCTACCCTGAAAAACAAGGCGGCTCACATTTCATTATACCGAACTGTTCTCTCGTGAGCCGCTAACCGCCACATCTAATAGGGAATTCGTTCCGGTTGAGGTTGAATACCAAATGTTTATTTAAAGCTTCGGTTTAGCCCCAGATTGTTCAAAAATAATATTTTTGATTTTCTGTTCGGCTTGGGTACGGTTCGGTTAGACAGCCCGCTCGGAACGAAATCGGGAAGTGATGCTAACAAGCACGCAAGGTCACATGAACGACGCAACAGGTTTTACGCGAGATCAAGATTGCGGAGGGTTCCAGCATAAAACCTTACATGAGTTCTGAATAAAAACGCGGGAATGAGGTACCACATAGGTGGCTGCTGAGACCCAAGTAGCTAGAAAGGCACACTCACCAGCACGAGCAGAAGTGCTACAGCGAAAAGGCAGGAAACGGGCGAGGCCATGCCTGGGACTCTAGAAATGTCTGTTCTACACCTTGATGCGGTATGCGCGTTTTATATGCTCTGAATCTCACGTGTCAATCACCCGCTCGTCATCGACGTGCTGTACCTCTTGAGAAAGGAACGATAAAAAATGGCGTGATTCGGCATTGGACAAAGTATTGCACCATAGATTGTCTTCTTTCTTTCACGGAACTTCCGCAAAGATATTGTGATCGCTTCTCGGCGGCAATCAACCACTCTGGCTGGATTCCTTGAAAGAAGGGTCAGGCTGATTCATTGTGCGCATGTCCGGATAAGATTGATTGACAAAAAAAGTAGCGGAAAATTAAAAAAATAGTAATCTTTGTAGAAAACCAGTCCTAAAAGAGTTTGTGTTTAATAAAATCAAAAGAACGTTAAAAATGGGTTATCAAATTAATACAATTCTTTAATATAATAATAGTTCTAGCTTCTGGTACGTTCTTTTAAAACTCACATAGTTTTTTTAACACTGGATTTTAGGTCGAGACAGTCGAGATTAGGGATGCCGCGAACTTATTTTCGAACCCAAGGTTAGATGATCGCATTAAGTGGTCTAAAAGTTCGATAGATTTCGAATTTTAGAACTTGCTAAACTAAGAAGTTCGACGCTTTTCGAAATTTCGACCTTATTACGCTGCAAAATTAGACGAGTGTCGAACTTTCGACTTGATACATTAAACAGTTCGATAATTTTCGAACTTTCGACCCTCTTGCACTAAAAGGTTCGAAGCTTTTCGAACTTTCGAACTTCCCGGGCTTAGATAATTTTTGAACTTTCGAACTTATTGATCTAAAGAATTTGAAAATTGTTGAACTTTCGATTCCTGAAAAATCAAACATTCGACGATCTTAGAACTTTTAGGGTAAAAGTTCGAAGTTCGTCGAACTTCGAAAGATCGGTGGGCGGTTTCATTTGGATTCAAACAATAAGTTACATTCGCAATTTTTTTTTTTTTTTGCATTTTTACAGCGGGTGGCCCATTCCTTGCGAAAGACAATGCCGTTTATTTCAATCATCTGTCATGCTTGGTTTTAAAGAAATAGATTCCCGAAGGAGCGAAGAAGGACGACGGTTTTTTGACCATTGTCGTTTGTGCCATATTTGAAGCACGCTTTAGCCGAAGCTATTTATGGTGGAGATGTGTCGTCTTAAAGGGGCCCTGCAATCATAATTAAGCGTCTACCTTTTTTGCAGTCTCCTCGTCTCTTGGGGTTCGGGCAAGCCAGCGGGCACGGAGAGAGTAACTAAATATCCGTGCGTCATATTTTAACCGGACGACGCGGAACCTCCTCCACCGACGAGGGCGAGCCGCGGTACCGAAACCGCGCAAAATGTGACGTCTTTGGTCCTGGGCTTACTACTCGTCAGAGCCGCTGAAAGCTTCTTTTTGGTCGAAATACAAAATATAAGTGGCGCGAAACGTTTCAATTATTTATAAAAGTAGTTTTTGTTCAGTATTTTCAATCAGAAAAAAACCAATGCAGTTTATAAAGTACAGAAACAAGAAATGACCCGTCGACATACCCGCCACCAAGCGGTGGAAAATGCGGCGCATACTAGAAAGGAGCAGTGGGATCAGCCGCCGACACGGAAAGGTCCCGGATGTACGCGGCGGAGCTGCGGTCGTATGGACAAGAGGATCAGTCCGGCTCCGAGCGTTCCGAAGGCTTTTGGCGAGAGGCTTTGTCTTGCGGTTGGCCATTTCGCGGTATGGCAGCGCCAAGTGGCTCCCATTCTGAACTGATCTTTACCCCGTGAACATGATTGTTATCCTGAGACTGGGGCAGAAAAAAGAACACAACAGAAGGTAATAAAAGAGGAGGCAACGTTACTACCTTCTGTTGTGTTCTCTTTTCTGCCCCAGTCTCAGGTTTACAATCATGTTCAACTTACACCAGCTCGCCTGCACTCTGACTATTTTTTCTTTACCCCGTGTTTGTTTTCGTTTGTGGCCAATGAAGTATCATGCCGACTTAGTGTTTAATCGCGCAGCAAATGCAATGAAAGCCGATTTGGCTGCCCGCTGCATACAGCCCATCGAGAATATGCTTTAGTGGCGCCCTCTCGCGCCGTCGACACGGAGTGCGTCAGCCGTGAGCGCTCGATGAGCTCACTGCCCCTCCTCTAGTTCATGGTCACTCAAGCAACCAAGGACGTCATGAGGGAGTTTGATTTTCGCTTGTTTCGTAATTCAAAGTTGCCTTTAACTTTTAAAATAAAGCGGACTTCGAGAAAAGGAAAGTTTCACTAAGTTACTAAGATCAGTGCGCCCATGTTCGGTGCAAACTAAAAAACAATAAAAAAGTCCTTGCAGCGCCCCTTTCAGATATGATTAGCCTGTACAAATTTTGGTAGGAGAAACTTGTTTCATAGTTCTGGGCCTCTGATTATGCAAGTATACAACACTTCCGGTGGGTTCCTGATAGTTTTGTTTTTTCTTCAGATTTTTATTTTTGAATTAATTGTTTTGTTTATTTATTTATTATTTTTTACAAATGAGACAGTTATTTAGGTCGAAAAGACATAGCTTCGAACTTCCGAACCACCCAGGATGTGACGAGTCGTGTGTTCTAACAACGAGTTTCTAACAATGACCATCTACGGGATCTCTTATGCAGTGAAGAGCAACAGTAGCTGCATATGCATAAATAATTTCAGATTAAAATAAGCACGACCATACCCTTTTTCCCTGTATTGTTTTTCTTTAATAGTCCGAAATATCTGGGGGGGGGGGAGAGAGACTGAAGCCCCCCCGCCCCCCCCCCCCCCCGTTTGTCCCCTTTCGACGCCACTGGTATAATAAAACGCTCCTCGATCTCAAGTTGTGTCAGCTACTTCTCAGTGTTTCTTTCGTCCGGGAAAATAAACCTCCAAAGCAATTACAAATTAAAAAAAATGTCAAGGTGCAGGAGAGCTGGTGTATGTTGATCATAATGCAAAATCATGAGACTGGGAATGGACTTCGCAAGAAATAGCGTCAGAAGAAAAGAAAAAGGGACAGGACAACGTCTCAAATTCAGCTGAGTTGAGTTTGAGAAATTGTCCTTAGCTAAATGTTCAGCTGAGTTGAATTTGGGATGTTGTCCTGAGCTGAATTTGTGACAATGTCCTGTCCCCTTTTTTCTGCCTTCCACTTTTTCTTTCAAATTTCATTCCCAGTCTCAGGATTTTGCATCATGTACAAAACAAACTTACTATATACCAGCGTCACTCGGGCGGCGTTAAATCGGATTATTACCAGCCTGCCAGGGGGTAGGGAGGCAGTTTGCCAGATCGCTTCAAGGTTTTTCTGAGCCGCAACCACCTGCCTGCCCCTGGCCGCTTCGAACTGAATGAGTATCTTTGAACAGTGCGTTCGTGTGATCACTACTTCGTGATGAACGTTAATGACTCCCTCGGGCTGGCGGTCACAATTACTTTTCTATGGTCACACGTCAATCTGCACTGGCAAATATTCAAGCACATCCGAGACACTCGTCGTCTCATTTAATTCCCTGACCCGACTTCGCGGTGTCTAAATATCACACCCGAACTTTTCGAAACTGGATTTCGTGAAAACCAGCAAGGCGTGAAAACGTTATTTGAAACTGAAACTGTGGCGGAACATGAAAACCGGACTTCGAACTTTGCGCACTTGGACTTAAAAGAAATTCGAAATCTTCAAAGCTTTTTTTTTCGAATTTAGCCCTAAAAGAGAATCGAAACCTTCTACCTTTTCGAACTTTAAGTAGAAAGAAATTCGAAATCTTCGAATTGATCGAACTTTATGTCTATTAGAAATCGAAACGTCCGAATTTTTCGAATTTCAGATCCCCGAAAATTCGAAAAATTCGATTCTCTCGATTTTCAATTTAGGAAAGTTCGAAATCTTCGAATTTCTCGAACCTCAAGTAAAAAAAAAATATTCGAAATAATCGAACCCAAACTTTCAGAAACCGTGAAAGCTTCGAACGTTTCGAATTCGAAACTCCACGATTTTTGAAAGTTGCGAATTTTTCGAATTCGAACATCCGTATAGTCGAAAATATTGAAACCTTTCGAATTGGAACATCAGTTCGTTTCGAAAATATTGAAACCTTTCGAATTCGAGCCTAGGGTGGTTCGCTGCATCCCTAGTCGAGATCTACCTTACCGTCCCTAGAACCGCGATAACGATGCCAAGGGCTGGTTCAGCACCCAGAAGGGCAGGGGTTTATCCAAAATTTGAACTCGGGTTTTGGGGGGGAGGGGGAGAGAGGGAGGGAGGGAGGGAGGGAGGGAGGGAGGGAGGGAAGGAGGGGGAGGGGAGGGAGAGGGAGGGTGGGTGGGTAAGGGAGGAAGGGGGGTGTATAGCCTTGTGTGTACTTTGCGCAGGAAATTCTTGGGAGAGGGGCGGGGGAGGGGGGAGGGGAGCTGGACTCAGCTTAGGGGAGTGTTATGGGGGTGTTGGGCGAGTGTTCTAAATGTTTCCGGCATTTCTCCTGAACGGGAGCCTTGCACTATCATGCTCGAGCTGACCGGGGAGAGTGCCCGGCAGTCTAAAGCTATACCTCTTGACAAGATTTGGCTATGGCTAGAGTTCTGCGTTCTCAGATAAATCAGATAAAATCCGAAAAAATACCTGCCAGTGCAAATCGGGCAGATTCAAATTTATGCAAAAAAATGCTAATTTTGGGACTGCAAATTGTTCGAATCTGACAAGTTTTTATGTTTTATTCTGACCCTCGGACATGTTTTCCATTTCCTTATTTATTAGTTACAACTTTTGTTTGTAAGCGCCACAAAAGGGTATTTTTGATCCCCATCACAAAAACTAGATACTATAACCGACACAGTGTTAGCTATTACAAAGCAGCCGTGGCCATTTCGTCCCCCCAGCAGGCACCCTCCAAAATACCGCACCTACCATGTGCGGCAAAATATCATGCTCTCTTTGTCGTCTGCTTGGCGGAAAGCAGATGCCGCCACAGCGCTTGCCGTTGTTTCCTTCACAGGCTTTTGTAGGTGCCTCTTTCAGTACGATGATTCTTTGACTCCTGTAAACAACTCGGCCGAACTTCGAATGAAGGGGACACACCGAGCTAAGATAATTGTTGGCGATGGTTGCATACATATCTAGGTAGATTACTTTTATTATTTGGACAGATGGCTGTTGACAGTCTTTCCTCAATTCCAAAACTGGTTTTAAAACACAGAATAGTAATGTAAGCATTTAGCACTACATTTGTTATGGGTATGGGCAGAAACTTTCATTTATTTATTTCCTATTTCTTTTCAGAGTAGTTAAACCGCTGTGGCGGCGTCTGTTTTCTGCCTAGCAGATGACGGAGAGAGAGTATGATATACCGCCGCACAAGGAGGGCGCAGTTCTTCAAAGGGCGCCCGCTATGTGGCGCTGGGGGTACGGAACAGCCACGGCTGCCCGTAGCTAACGGTGCTGTCGGTAGTACAACTATAGTCGAAAATGTCTTGATTGTAAAAAGGCTGCTTTACTAAACTCACAAACTGGTGTTTCCTACCTTACATTCGTCTCTTTTGAAAATCCGAATAACTTCAAATTGACAACTCTTCTTCAATAAGAAAAACCCCATTTCAACGGAAGCAACCTTTATCATCAGCTTATTTGTGTTGACCCCGGACCCTGACCGCACTGAACTGTCCACGTCGCTGCTTCTTCCTTCAGAAATTGTTTATATATGTTCCGCTTAGCAATGAATTGCAGAAATAGAGTTGTGCTTTCGACAAATGCCGTGGATATGCATTTGCATTTATGGCCTAAGCCCCGATAACAACCGATTTCTGGCCGGCACTAAAAGTAGATACCGGAAAACACAGATTTTAGGATACAATAATGAACACAGAAAAAACACCCCCCAAGTTGAAGAAAAATAACCACCAAAAACAGGGAGCCTTAGGTATGAGTTTCGAACTTCCCGAGCTTAGGAGAAATCGTAAAACAGACTTAACCGCCCTGCTTCATCGTGCGTTTCAAATGGCCTGCGATCAGATGCTTGCCCACATAGCTTCGTACAATCCTGCGCAGATTTCAGAATTCCGTGCACCACGCACATGGGCATGATTTCAGGTAAGGGGAGAGGGGGCTCTAGGAGGGGACGGGGGAACCTTTTTCAAGACACACTGGGTTGGGGAGAGGATTAGGTGGCAGCAAAACTGGAGGATTTCAGGGAGGAGGTGTCGGCTCCCTGCTTCGCCCCCCCCCCCCCCCACCCCCTTTGCTACATGCCTGGCGTAACTATAACTTGTATGCTCAGACTGATTCTTGTTGTCCTTTTCGTAATCATTGGGCTTTCCTGGGAACGCCTAAGAGAAGACGATTGAAGGTGAATGAGTTATTCAAGCCAAGCTGTATCTGACTGGCTCCTTTCAACAGTGTACAGAGGTTATGAGTATTTTTTTTTCTCCTTCAAAATAGTGTGCATCCGGGCAAAGTGAACTGATCACCACGCTGACAGACTCCTTGGCTAGGATATCAAGCTGAAATGCCTTAGTGAGCATTTTTTCTAATGTTGAATAGCCTTTTTATATCTACAGAAGTGTTTCACTGAAGGAGTAAGCCCGTGTGCAAACGTCCTGATGGGGTACCACACTAGCAAGCACAATGGGGAAGTTCTGCACTGCATGTCATCTAGACAGGTCGCAGAGAAGCGTGGGGATGCCAGGGCCAAGGAAAAGGTGCTCCTACCGATTCTGGGCTGCCACTTCAAAGAGCACACAAGGACACGTTTTCACATCTTCGGAGTAAGCGCATATCAAAGTGATAGGACAGCTCTGCGAGTTCAGCGTATATGTCATATATGTGGTGCTTAGCTACTTACTTCTTCACATATACTGCCAAAGCCATTATATGCATTAATTCATGAGCTGAGTGCGCAGATATTTTTTTACAGCGGAGCTGTTAAGCGCTAGGTTCCCCAGTATCGGGTCCGTGTACGTCGACACAAACCTACCTGGTCAGCTACCGTCATTTATAAGCGACGGCGGCAAGCACACAACCAGTATGGATTCCGCCGTCGCTCCTAGGTAGCGGCAACCCTTCTATCTATGACAGAAGAATGAATAGTTGGGGGGGTTGGTGGGAATTCATCGTAGGAAAGAGCGCGAAAAACAGACGACGACGACGAAGAAGCACACAGCGTATCGAGTACAGCTCCGCTAATCTTCCTTCTTCACAAAAGTGAAAAGGCTGAATGATTTTCGCTCTGCTTGATATTAATAAGAATATTGAAACGTAGGTGTGTGTGACTGATGCCACTATAATGTTGTTTACTGGTCAGGTGAACATTTTCTTTGATTTTCAATTAAAAATTATGTCATCTTTTATACTTGGAAGATACACCTTTTAAAATTTGCCCCATCTATTGACGGCGTTTCAAACTACGCGAGGGCGCTGTGGTTTGCTACCGTCGGCTTCAATTAGAATGTAGACCGTTTCTACCCAAGTGCTTCTGTACCTGCCAAAGATGAATTTTCGTTGCTGCGTGCCGGCCAGCCTTAACCACGGTTAAGGCTGCCCGTGTGACAGGTATCAGTCATGACGGTGATAAAACTGAGTATGTATCGTTTTTGTCCTAATTTTTGCACAGGATATGTCATGAGGCTGGCCTTAAGCACTTCCCGTAATATGTCTCGCCTATGGATGCGCACACACTAAAATTCCAACCGTATCAAGAAGCACTGGTCATGCTTGGATTCGAACCTGGGACCCTCAGCTGGTAAACCAATGTATTAAAACTGCCAGAGACCGCAAAAATGTATGCTTCGTTTTCTTTATATGCTTTATATACAATCTCGAAAGAGATTAACAGTATTGATAGAAAAGGAGAAAGGCTGCCATCATGTCCGCTTTACTTAGGGTAGTGTCATCCTTTGTAGTACCGGATGCATACAGCAAGGACTGACTGAAAAACATAGACAAAATAGCAGGTAACATATAGCCATCATTGGGCAGGTGCATGTACAAGCTCGAGCCGGGGAACATCACGTGCAGCACAGAAGAAAAAGAAGCGTTGTGAAACAAAACGGCTTAAAGGGGCACTGACACCCCAAAGGTCGTATTTATTTTTATTGTCTAAAACGATGCAAGTTGCAGCCATAGACACGCAAAAAAAACCGAATCGCGAAAAAAAATTTTCCCGCGCGCACTTTTTGGCGTTTGATTTTCCCGCCTCTCGCCTCCTCGCTTCTTTTGATCGGTGACGTCAAAAATCAGGAAATTTAGAAGCTTTGTAGGCGGCATATTTATAACATTTAATGACGGCAATCCTAGAACATGTTTTTTAACGCAATTGTGAACGCACTACGGCCCTTCTTTTTGAAATACCAAATATCGGGAGTTCGTTGTGGTGCCGTCTCCTGGATTTGTATCCTCCAACGGAAAACAGGCGACACCGCTCAAAACCGGTCCGCCGCAACGCCGGCGCTAGCCGGCGCTCGCTCCTATCCTCCTCGCTTTGGGTCGCCATGGCAACAGCAGGGAGTGGTGACAGGAAAGTGGAATCTGAGGTCTCCGCAATTTTTGACGTCAAGGCACCGGCGCCGATCGCGCGGGAACTTCGAATTCGGCATTTGGAAATTGTTTTTTTACTTCACAAATACTGAATTCCCAAATTTCAAATTTTGAGGGTAATGTCCCGGCATCGTTTTCAACCGTTTCGGATAATAAAAAAAAAATATGATTTTGATGTGTCAGTGCCGCTTTAATATCGCCATACGAGGCTCTCTTTCACGCCCTCCAGGGCTGCGCATGATACATTCCGTGAAAAAACAGTTAGGGCGCAGGCGAGCTGGTGTAATTTCACCATTTTTTAGACCACCTGAGACTGGGTGGAAGAAACACGACGTCGTCGTCGTGTTTCCTCCACCCAGTCTTAGGTGGTCTAAAAAATGGTATACATTCCGTGTTACCGCTGACTTTGCCTCGGGAGCTTTTTAGTATAGCACTATTAATTGCTTTTGAATTTTAATTTTCAGGGTCTCGAATTGCCCATACATTACTTCTTAGAAACAAGTTTGTATTTCTTTTCAGGAGGCATCTTCAGTGGCTTCTGTTTTGTCATAACAGAGCATCAAAGGTGTACATTGATCCTGTGCCCTTCTTGGAGGCAGTATGTCTTCAATTCGCCACATTTAATGTACTGAACCTCTCCTAGCCAAAGGAAACTTCGACGACCCTCGAGTTCATTCGATGGTGAGGCAATCATTCGGCAATGCCTGAGTACACAGAGACGTCAGACAATGACACACTTGGTGTCACTTTTCATTACGAATTATTCTGACTGAAAAGTAAGGTAATTGTTTTTAAGATGTGGAGGAGGTAAAGAGGAAAACGACGAAGGCACTGAATTCTCTTGTAATGCACAAGTTCGAGAACTGTTTTGAACAATGAAAAAATCAGCAGGAAAAGTGTGTTGCATCTCAGGGAGTGTACTTTGAGGGTAAATAAATTTTAGAAATGTATTGAGAAATATAATAATTAAAAAAATTCTTATTGCTTTTGGGAGGTCCACCTTGTATATCTACAGGGCAAAGTCTAACTGACCATATGTCGTGCCTTCCTAGCCAAATCTGCGAAATCAACCCAGAGAAGGGCTCAAGGAGCACGGGAGCAAGGAAGCGGACAGCTGTACATCGCAAGATTTTGAAGCTGCTGAAGAGCTTAAAGTAGAGGCTGCAACACTGAACTTTTTAAGTAAGAGAAAAGTGATATTTTTGCAGATCTATCATTTCTTGGAGGGTAAGACTAATCTGCTGGGTCTAATATTGTTCTTTCATATGGTGTGATATATGAGAATGACACTATTGGTCAAATGAATATTTTTACCTTAGCTGGTGTTGACAGTTGACACAATGGATACAACAGCGATCAGCGCATGGAAATCCAGAATGTTGGGGATGCTGCACATGACAAGCAAGGCAGTAGCTGCTGACTCCTAATAGCTCAGGACCTTGCCTCATTTGAATCACAGTTCACAAGCAAGGGCCCTGTACACAAATTTCTGAAATTGGTTTTGTCCTGATATGTGCAAACATCACCATGACTATCTCAAAAATTATTTAAGCCATTTTTTCCAATTTTTTTATGGTAAATGTTTTTCAGAGGCGTTTCACGGCACACGTCACCTTATCCCTGGCAGTCTTCTGCATCCATGCTTATACACTGCAACATTGCTTCACATAGCAAGTGTTATTCGAAAATATGAAACGCTACCTTATTTATATTTTCATTATGGAATTTATGCTAAAGTAAATTTTTACTTTCCAGGTGGTGTGCTTCGAGTCGTAAAACATCAAGCAATGTTTTATAGTCAAATGTTTGGAGAAATGCCTCCACCTTGTGATATTATGGATCAAAAGGATAGTTGGCAGAACTGCTTTTACTTACGCTAAGCGATAGCTTCAGTTCTAATATATTTATCATGTTTGTGAGAGTAAGCCTTGTCTGACACCAGTGAGTGTCAGCACAATTTTCTCTCGGTGGGGGCAAACCAACATTATTTTTTGGGGGAGGGAAGAGAAAGGGGGTGACACTTTCATACATAGCTTGTTTAAGATTCATACTCCAACACAGTGCAGCATGTCGACCAGGAAATATTTCACACTATCCACATATTCTTAATACATCGGGATTTCAAATTGATCCATGGATTCCGCGTTGCCGATGATCTGCAGGCTGAGTCATTACCTACAAACATGAGTGCCAAAAGGTAAATCTAAACATATACTTAGAATCCTTGAGAGAACTGAAGGAAGACAAGGTCAACTATAGCCAGCTGCATAAGGAGAGTGACTCATAGCCTATTGTACTTTTAGTGGCCATGTTTGTGCGTAGTAACTCACATTCAAAGGCAGTCTGACATTGTGTGAATACACTATGTTGTATTGGCCACCTCGTCAACTTGAACGTGCATGAGTTCATGGTAGTGTCCTCTACAATGTTTAATTATTTCTGGAATGTATGCTTATGCTAACTTTCCCCTGTACGCAAAAATAACAGTTTGGAATACCTGCATAGAGTTCAATGTGCCAATTAAGCGAAATTAGTTGGTCATCCAGTGATACATAAGGGGAAAATGACTTATTTTTAGCAGAGCATCAAAAGGACGTCCTGCATTGCGAGTATGATGCACCACATATTCTGTGAGGCTCTTGAATAAAAGTCAAAGCCGCTTACAACTCCCTGTAACGCCGAATTGGAGCGCAGCTCTTGAGAAGGAGGAGGAAGGGTACTGAGGGGAGGGTAGACCCCTCCTCCTCCTCCTCCTTCTCCTCCACCTCCCCTCATTCTTTATTATGCTCCGGGGGTCACCTGACCTCCCGGAGCATAATAATAACGTGACCTCACGGAGGGGGCCACGTGACCTTGGGGGGTCACGTGACTTTGGGGGTCACGTGACCTTGGGGGTTCACATGACCTTGGGAGGGGTCAAGTGACCTTGGGAGTCACGTGACCATGGGGTGACCTGGGGGGTCACGTAACCTTTGGGTGATCTTCGTTACGCCGACGGCGACCACAGCGCCGCTCAAGCCGGAAACGGGCGCCTAAGAGCTGCGCTCTAAAAAGTTAACAGTTAGCATAAAAAATGAAAGCCGTTTACAAATCCCCGTAATGTCGAATTGGAGCGCAGCTCTTGAGGAAGAGTAGGGAAGGGTACTGAGGGGGGTCACGTCACCTGCGGGTAGTCACGTGACCCCGGGGCGGTCACGTGACCTCGGGGGATGACGTGACCTCGGGGGATGACGTGACCTCGGGGGATCACGTGACCTCGGGGGGTCACGTGACTTTGGGGGTCACGTGACCTCGGGGGGGTCACGTGACCCCCCCGCGGTTACGCCGACGCCGAC